TTTTTAAAGGTTTAATTATTTATTTATGTGTAAGTATATCTGTGTACATACATGTGTATGCCCATGAAGGCTAGAAGGTGTTGGATCCCCTGGAGCTGGAGTTACAGACAGTTGTGAGCTGCTGCATATGGGTGCTGAGAACCGAACTCTGGTCCTCTGCAAAAACAGTATGTACACTTGACCACTGAGCAGTCAGCTCTCCAGCCCCATGCACAGTAATCTTTGATGTCAAAATCTGACCTAGTCACAGAGAAAATATACCTGAATTTGTTATCTAGTTACAGTATCCTATTAAGTACCTATCAATTTACTAGTTCACTCTAGAACTATTTTAATTTTACTTATTTTTACTTATTTATTTTGGTCTTTTTGAGACAGGGTCTCCCTGTAGCCCCAGCTGGCCTCAAACTCATAGAGATCCGCCTTCCGCTGTCTCCCAAGAGCTGGGATTAAAGGTGTGCACCACCTCCACCGGCTTGTTATTTTTATTTTATGTGTATCGTGTATTGTCTGCATGTGTATAAGTGTACCTGTGTCATGTAATTCCCATGGAAGTCAGAAGAGGGCATCAAATCCCCTGAAACTGGAGTTAAGACAGTTGCTAGCCACCATAAAGGTGCTGGGAATCAGAGCAGTCAGTGCTCCTAACCACTGAGCCAACTCTCCACCCCCCTAGAACTATTAATTATAGGCAGGCTTTTCCTGGAGATACCTGAATCTATCCAACTAACCCATTCAGTCCCACCAAAATGAAGGAACAGAGTAATTTTGATCAGATACCAGAGAGATCTTAAAAATACATGCTCAATGGGCCAGGTGTGGTAGCTCATGCCTTTAATCCCAGCACTTGGGAGGCAGTGGCAGGCAGATCTCTGTGAGTTCAAGGCCTGAGTTCCAGGACAGCTGGGGCTATAAGGAGACCCTGTCTCAAAAAGGAAAAAAAAAAAAAATACTCCAAAAACAGATCATACAATAAATTTAAGTAGTGAACAACTTGAGACTCAGAGACCAAACTTTGAGAGAACTGCTAATACTTCAAAATTACAGAAAGCAGCCTGGGCAATTTTAGCTGTACAAAGGTGAAGGCAGCATTTAATAACACTGGGTACTTCCTTTGAATGACCTTTCTACCTTCTCTGACTATTTCAAGGGGGAAATCTGTCACTGGCATTTCCTTTATGCTTATTACTAATTGCTGCTTTGAGAGCCTTCTGTAAGTACTAGCATCTAGCTACAAATTAATAACCATTTTCACTGTTCTTATGTCTAGTTTTCATATACAGCAAAGAATAGAATATAATTTTCCTTATAATTAATTTTAGTTGATACTTTCTCTTCATATTACATTGGAATCTTAGGATGTTGGAGGGGGGAAACCACAAAGAAAGGGATTCTTGCTCTAGTTTTCCCTAGAAAACTAGACGCCTGCAGTGCTAGGCGTTCTGTAAATACTCAATAGGCTCAATAGGCGTTTCCTGGGTGAATCCAGGGCCTGGAGCTGCTCTCCTTATCCTTCTCTTTTCCTTAAAAACCATACTGACCTAAAACACAAGGCAGCAGTAATGGTAGTCCCTTGATTCATAGGCAAACTATGCCTGTCATGGTAACCAAGACCTCCAAGCTTACTTTCTCCAAAAACATCAAGTAAATGCTTAAGGCCTGGTAAAAAACTACTACGGTTTAATCATCTCTGCAATTTCTACTCAACGAAGTAAAGGAAGCAAAGTAAGTACAACATTTTACGGGGGCTGAGGGAAGGGGGGTGGTAACGGGTTCCCTAACAAACTACTTTTGTGCTGTCTGGCCAGGGCCTTCCTGTTTCCACACACTACTACCTTCCCTAGCCCTGCCCTGGCAACAGATCTGTTCGCACAGCAGTGGTCCTCTAAACCGGGAGAGGCACCAACTCAGCCTCCCTGGCATTTCCACTGCAGTGCTAAGCCTTCTCCTGTACTCATTTCCTGGGTGAATCCAGGGCCTGGAGCTGCTCTCCTTTATCCTTCTCTTTTCCTTAAAAACCATACTGACCCAAAACACAAGGCAGCAGTAATGGTTGTCTCTTGAGTCAAATCTTACACGCTTACTTATGGATCTGGAGTACCTACGAAGTTATATATAACTGTCTATAAATCCTCAATCAGAAGACACTGGCCTTAAGTGCTACAATGATGAAAAGCTTTGCTTTTCCAATTTTTTCCAGAAAGGTTATCTTTTTTTGTTGTTATTCAGAAAGGTATGTAATTTACTACATTTCAAGCTACATTTTATATTGGGAGGAATTCCTTATTATATGACTTCATTCACTACTCTGGAGAAACAATGCTACCTAAGATTTGAGTTCAGGGCATGAACATGGTTAAAGAAAATTAAGTAACAAAGGATATTTTTACTGAGACAAAGGCTTTTTGAATGTATGTTTTTAATTAAAATATTCATCACACAAAATTATGGGTTTCATTCTGACAGTTTCATACATGTGTGTCATGTACTTTGATCACACTCACTTGTTCATTACCCTGATGCCCTTTCCCCTTCCTCTTCCCAAACAGTTCTCTTTCCATTTTCAAGTCTTTTAATCTTCCTTCTGTATGGGAAAAAAACATGCCATATTTGTCTTTCTAAGCCTGGCTTATTTCATTTAACCTGACATTCTCCAGCTCCACCCATTTTCCTACAAATAACACAATTTTGTTCTTCTTTATGAACACAGTACCACTGATAAACAAAGCCACTAACCCAAGTTCAAAGTGCTCTCTATTGCTGACTTTTCTCCAGCTCTTTGCAGCCCAGTCTTCAATGTATATCTCTCAAAACCTCATTAAGTAGATGCCAGGTTACTAAGGCTGGCCAGATCATTTACAGTGCTTAACTATTCTTTACTTACACACTTGTGGCTGACCACACTAGTAAGAACCCCAATGATGAGCTCTTAAAACATACAGGACAAGCTGGACATGGTGGCGCACAACATGGTGGATCTCAACACTTGGGAGGCAGAGGCAGGTGGATCTCTGTGAGTTCAAGGCCAGTCTGGTCT